TCAACAAGTCTCAGACAGTTCTGGTTGACTCATGCTGATGCACTTCATTTTCAAATTCAATGCTCAGACAGTTCTGGTTGCAATACAAGAATCAAAGTTAAACATCAAATAACTAAGCTGCTCACAAAGGTGTTGACGCACGCCGATGCACTACGGTGAGACAGGATGCACTACGGTGAAACTGAATGTCTCAAGCAAAGATGCGTGCATCAACAAGTCTCAGACAGTTCTGGTTGACTCATGCTGATGCACTTCATTTTCAAATTCAATTGACATCAGTGGCTACCGCGGTTGATCTTTATCTGGGCACCTCCACGGACCTTAGGTAAAATCCAACTACCATGCTATATAATATGAACAGGCACTACCACTGCCTCGATCTGCGAAATTCGTATCCTGTCTCATGAGGGCGGTGTGCTTTGGGGCCCCCCAACCAGGGTGGTTCTGGCAGGCGGCGGACATTGCTGGCCACCTCAGCATTTCGACGGAGGGGTGAAGTTCGTACCATGTATTTGTAATTTGTATTGCTCAGACAGTTCTGGTTGCAATACAAGAATCAAAGTTAAACATCAAATAACTAAGCTGCTCACAAAGGTGTTGAGATGACAAAGAATCGACCTGGCCCCCCGCCAGGGTGGGGGAACCATCCTATCACCTCAAAGTCTTATAGGAGCAGGCCATAATTATATACCTATTATCAAACTCTGAAGCTAAGGCCTAATGCTGTTAATCTAAATATTGTAAAGATCTAAGATGACGACTCGACGATGTGCACCTCATCACAATACGTGACCAAGTGTGTAATGTCATGGCGAGCCTAACTAAAACTTTTGTCAGTCCTGATATTGTCCTGCAAAAGCTTGAAGCCATCACTGCTTGCAGCAGCTGAACCAAAGCGTGCACGGCGACAACCTGGTCGTCCATCTTGCACTGGACACTGTTTGTGTGTTGCCGCATCGCATCCAGGATGTCCACAGGTCATCCAAGCGGCACTCCGTCCTTTGGTGATGTTCCGAGCAAATGAACGGTTCGGTCCGTCACAGAATGCAATGATGTTGTTCCATTCCAGAACCTGCCATCCAATGACCAACGGCTAAGTGCACATACTCAGCCCGCCAGTGGATCTCCTAGTCCAAGGCCCAAAGCTCCTATACTCCTTGCTCACCCTTTTCTTCACACATCTGTGATGACCTTGGTGATCGCCGTGATGTTCTTCTCCAGGAAATAGCTAGTTACTTGCTTCTTCAAAATGACATCGTTAACCATCAATTTGAAGCCACTCGATCAATCCCAAAAAAGTTCAATGGACCATCTCAAAGGGGATCACTTTGAAGAAGCAGCAGAAAATATTTTTTTTGCTTTTCTTTACTTAGAAAAGTCCGTCCGTCCAGAGAGAGGCCTATCTGCCCACAACAAGAGATCTGGGGGGAACCAGGGTTACTGGCACTGCAGGCCAAAGGTTATCATAGATTCAATTGGGAGGAAGTGACAATAGATGTACCATGGCTGATGGCGTGACCATGGTACACCATCACTTCAATTGAAAGTCATAAGACCTGAGGAGGAGCCTGGACACGTATACCTTATATCGTGCGTGCATGTGTTGATGGGGTGGTGTGGTGAAGTCCCATTTCCATGTGAACCGGAAAAAAAAGGAAATGCTCTTACTCGAAACCAGCATGTATAAACATGTCATGAGGGCTGTGTGCTTTGGGGCCCCCCAACCAAGGTGGTTTGCCATCTCCCCAAAAAGAAGTATAAACGGGCGGACCTGGCAGGCGGCGAACGTTTCTGGGCTGGGACAAGCACAGTATTACAATATGATATAATGGGATGGCTTTTGTGCTCCTTTCCATGTGGTTTTTGGGTTTAGGGTCCGGACTCCTGACTGTGACTGGAATTGAAACTCTTATCTTAACACTCATACATCCATCTCTATATATTAACACTCATAAATCCATCTTTATATCATATCTCTAGATCTATCTCAATATAAAATATATCGATTTGTCTCTTTGTGGTAGCAGCCTGCCTATCCAGGTAATCCATCCCATCCCGGGGCCCTGACTCGATGCAAACCTAGGTGCACAGACCAACAATGCGGACCTGCAAAGCATTCAAGGACTATGACTAATGACTGTGACAGATCACATTCAGTGATGTCCCGGCACAACTATATGCGCAAAGGGAACTGACAACTTTATTGATCGTCGATGGAGTCTCAGACCGTTCTGTTTGACTCACGCCGATGCACTATGGTGAGACAAGATGCACTACGGTGAAACTGAATGTCTCAAGCAAAGATGCGTGCATCAGCGAGTCTCAGACAGTTCTGGTTGACTCATGCTGATACACTTCATTTTCAAATCGTCTTTGCGATAATATGATTACATGTATCCAAATGCTTGTTTCACCGGTGTCAGGTAACCGGAAAGGTCTATAAAGCCCCAAGGCAGGACGGACCCACTAATCTACAGCTTGCTCATTCCTCAGTTCCTAGTAGGACGCTCGTGAGCCGGCTCATTAGCAACCATGGGGTCGATGATCTGATAAAGCAATCTTCCCTGCTCATCACGTTCTTCTGGAGCAAGAAATCCATACCAACGAAACTCACCAGGTCGAACCTTCTCCAGTACATTTGCTTCCATCTTTCGAAAGTAACCCAGAGCAGTAATTTCGACCTGGAGGAAGCTGTAGTCGAAATAGTTGTAAGTGTGACACCATTGAGCATCTGTGGCACGCCCAAGAGGCGCATGTGTCGCACTCAAATCTATCCTGGAGGTATAGATGTCTGGCTGGACTCTATGATGCGTCCGCAGTTCCTCCATCTGTGGTGGAGCGAGAGCTATCCACAGACGAATGCTATCCTCCAGACGAATTCAAACCTTTTCGATAGTGTAGTCCACATGTGAGCAATAATCTGCAGCTTCCTGATGTCACATAAGCAAGCGTGAATATAAACAATGCCATCCTCTCCCGGGGCCCTGGCCTGATGAAGACCCAGCTGTGTAGAAGAACCGAAGACCTTCTAAGCATTCAAGTACCAAGACCTTCAAATGGCGAGCATGACGCGGGATGACTTGCAGAAGGTTGCAGCAGCTTCTGATGTGTCGACACGTCGACAAGATGGTTCAATGGTGAACCATCTTCTCCACGTGTAGAAACACCAGAAGCTGCTGCAACCTTCCGCAAGTCACCCTGCTTCATCATCGCCATCTTCTCTTGCAGCCACGTGCGTCCTTTGCTGCTGGCGTCCATATGAAGCTCTTCCACCTGTGCCGAAATATTGCCGCCCAGCGTCCATCCAGTCATGGAAGGATAGCAACAGCGCATCATTCAAATCAACTGAATTTGTTTGAAACGACGTATACTGCAATCTCCCCGCAGCTGCAAAGCAATCGGCTGCCATGCGTGACTTGATGTTAGTACAGCTACAACATTTTGGGGACCTCAGTCGATTGGTAGAAACTTTCGAAGGTGGACTTGCATTCTTGCAATCTTTACTTGAATAATGGGCTTTTCGATAATGTATTCCACATGTGAGCAATAATCTATACATCATTCAGACAACAATACCAAAATAATCTATATGACTTTGTTGCACATGGTTCCGACATGTCTTCTTCTAGAGCTGCCCATATGCACTACCAACAATGTTGTTCCATTCCGCGACAAGCTAGCATCCAATGAAGCGTTCACATGTTTTGTACTGCTTTGCACATCAAACTTCCAGCCTCCACGGATGGATCCTACGGTTTCATTGCCCAACCTGGCATCAAACGACAATCCCATAGGACATGTTGATTTTCACGGCGGCTACATGCACATGGCATATCTCAACTCACTTCTGATGCTGTGAAAGTGCAGTTCCATGGCACAACCTGGCTTCAAACGAAACTGACGCGGAACATATTGAACCAACTGAATATGGATTTATCGCGTGACGTGGGAAAGCGCGCTTACAAAACGTTTCAAAATGTAATTGAACTTCTTAAAGTTCGCACTTTATAATATTTGACTTTTTGTCCAGCTTTGTTAATTGGGGAGATTCCAACGAGTGCGTTCACTCAGTCGCCAACAACGTTCATTTGACGGTGACTCTTTGTCACCTGCATTTGAAAACAAAATGATTTCCAAAGAATTCACACGCATTGCACTTCTGCAAAAATTTGTTGTCCCATGACCGTGAACTCAAACTGAAAATTGGCGAAAACGGAAATGAAAACCTTTCAAACATTTGGGAGCTGCTCACCTCCCCCTAACTCGCGGGGTGGGTACTGGGCGGGTCGCGAGTTCCTACAAGTGGAAAACAGTTGCTCCCACCACCCACCCAAACTGTTTGAGGCGAGCGCGGTTGAACACAAACATGATTTGGACACAACCAAACATGAAAACGAGGGACGTTAAAACCAAGTTGTTGTTTTAGTTGGTTGGAAGTTTTCACAGAAGAAAACCTGGTACCTAAAAAGCCTTAAAGACTAAACAAAGGCATTAGATACCAGCAACTGAAACAACAACGACAGTGGTGTTCAAACGTTTGAGATTTGTTTCACTGTTTCCTTTGTGTCCTTGCTTTCAAGGCACAAAATAAAACATGTAAGCGCGAGAAATTTTTGAGCACACTCAAAAATTCTTAAACCCACTTTACTTTCGATAAAGAACCATCACCTACGGTGAAATTGTCCTTATCGCGTGACGTGGGAAAGCGCGCTTACAAAACGTTTCAAAATGTAATTGAACTTCTTAAAGTTCGCACTTTATAATATTTGACTTTTTGTCCAGCTTTGTTAATTGGGGAGATTCCAATGAGTGCGTTCACTCAGTCGCCAACAACGTTCATTTGACGGTGACTCTTTGTCACCTGCATTTGAAAACAAAATGATTTCCAAAGAATTCACACGCATTGCACTTCTGCAAAAATTTGTTGTCCCATGACCGTGAACTCAAACTGAAAATTGGCGAAAACGGAAATGAAAACCTTTCAAACATTTGGGAGCTGCTCACCTCCCCTTTTCAATCAATCCAACCAGCTTCCAAGAGTCCTCCAGGGCTTTCAAAGCAATTGAGTAGTCAGGAACTGACCTGGCAGAGTTTCGATACTCCGAAAATTGGAGTCTAGAGGCACTGTCTGATGGATTGCTCTTTGATGGCACTCTGCTGTACCAGTTTCTGGATTGGACGCTAACGTCCATGCGAGCATTCAGTTGCAGAAGGAAAAAACTGTCCAAAATGGGGGAAAAATTTCTCACCAAGGACATCCGAACGCTCTCGTTGTCAAGGAACCACAAAATGCTTCTACCTTCCAAAGATGTGCTCCATGTCGCTTTCGCAATAACGACTGGAAAGATCTCGGCCTGGGCGATGACCTGTTTCTTCCCTGACCTTGTCCAAAGCTGCACGAAGTCGCTAGGTATGTTATCTCCCATAAAGAAGCTCTGCTGTTTCCAAGGATCCACAAGCACAGCGCCATGGGTGACTGATTTCAGCGAATCTTCTACCGCACCATCGGTAAACAACAATATGGGCGGCACTTCGGACCAGGATTGCACCAGTCTCGGTTTGGCCTCCATCAGCAAAGAAAGGGCCTCAGAGACAACGTGGACCAACTCCGGCGTCACTGTAACTGACGGTCCTTGACCTCCAAATTTGTGGAGGAGCTGACAGGCCAGTTGTGTCGTTCGGCCGTATGTGTGGCCTGCCGCATAGAGGAGCCTCCCCTTCAGCGATTCCAGCATCGCCCGTGGGGCAGTGGCTTTCAGGAAGCCTTTCAGTTCATTTACCTGTTGTTTCAACTGCAGAAGCCTGGACTCCTTGTTAGTGACTTCTATGGTTTCACCTCCTGGTGGGGGAAAGGTCACAATAGCCCCCAATATCTCGAACCTTTTCGAGAAGGCCTTGCGTTTTTCATCTCCCATGGAGATTCTCCATCCAAGCAAAGTGAGCACCAACTCTGCCGTCTTCCACGCTCCATCGGAAATAGGCGCCAGCTCGATCTGGCAAAAATCGTCAAATAAGTTTGTAACCACAAGCTTGAACAAACGTGTCAAGATCATACGCAAGGCTCTTGCAGCACGGTTAAAACCAATGACTGAAGAAACAGATCCAAAAGGAAGGGCTATGGCTTCGAAGTAGTAGACATTGTTGTCCTCTGGATTTGCCACAGCAAGGATCGACGCCCATGCGTCACAAGGATTCCGCACTAATTGCTTGTAGGCATGCTTTAAATCCAAGCAGCGCCCTACCAAGTCCCTGGACTTCGTTGAACGCCACTCTGCTGCTATAGACCCAGATGAAACACCATCTTCACCAGGAATGCGCCAACGATGCTCGTCTCTCATAGCTCCAAGAAAAAAGCGAGCTGTCGCACAAATATGGTCGATGCCCTCCAAGTCGATCTTCTCATGACATGTAACCGTGGAGTTCACTAAGAATTGACTAAAATCGTCCACTGAGCGAATCTTTCCACTTTGGCGCACTCCAAAGCGCCTTGATGGGATCCAGTGCTTCCCATGCTTTGCAGTAATTTCCTCAGAAGAAAATGGACCTCTGACCCAACGCTTGTCTTCTGCTGCCTGCTCCATCGTCTCTTGCCAAACTGCTGCAGCGATCTCTGAGTCTTCTAAGACCCGTTTGCACGACCCAACCACTGCACGCTGAGCCCAGACTGCAGTTTGTCTGAGCTGTTCAATCCCTAACACTGCTGGCTTCCACTGCGGGGGAAATTGACCAGATGGGGATAAATCACCTACCAGCCTGAAACCATTGCAAAGCTCTTCAAAAAGCAAGGGATCTGTTACACCCGCATCAGCCATCATTTCTTTGAACAGCAAGAGGCGTTTAGTCGCCATCACCGGTTGAATTGACTCGTTCAGCGTCTCGTGCAACTTTAACTCGTCTTGTTGTAGAGCTCTTGCACGCCCAATGTAATGCTGCAGCATGTCCGCTCTGTGCTTTGCTACTCCAGCAGGGCCTCTTTCCAAAATGAAAACAATCGATTCCATGTTTGACTCATCCAAAGGGAGTGGCACATCGAATGGATGTGTCAGTTGTTGCACACGCTGCACAAATTCCTGAGGGGAAAAATAGACCCCGTAAATTGCCTTCAGACGGCCACTACCCCCTGTTCCATCACTAACCGGCTGCAGGTCAAGTCTCTTCGCACCAACAGGAATGCCCTGCCACGGTGGTTTTGCATCCTCTGGAATGCAAAGTGGCGGATTGTCATCTTCCACACATTCAATGGCCACCTTCGACTTGAACTCAGAAAGGAGGAGTGGCCCTTTCGTACGTCTTGGCTGTGATTCAGCCGAAATTTTCACTGCATGGTCAACTAGTTCATCCTGCAAATAGATGTCTCCACGTTTTGCCAGTTCTTCCAGAAAAGAGGCAGCCAACTCATGTGCTAATTTGCTGGGATATTCGGCTTCTTTGGCCGTATCAAAGGCCCAGTCACCTGATTCAAGTTGCCTGACCTTCCAGGCCGCATGACTGTGATCGCCAGAACAACGTTGTTTGAGCCTAGGGGCATCGAAGTTGGCCAGGAATGCAGTGGACTTCTTATGTTCGGAACCGTATTCACAGGCATCAATGACATGGAAATAAAAACGCTGCAAAAGAGGTTTGAAAAATGGAGTTTCCCACATCAGGGAGTTCTCAGGGTTCTCCACCGTAAACAGCACATCATATTTCTCGCACAGCATCACAAGGTTGGCTGAAAATTCGTACAGGCAGTTTGCTGCTTGCACTTTCACTTTGTTCAGCCCTTTCAGCCATGGAAATCCCAATGGGTATGCAGAGCTCCTCAAAGGCTGAGGGTTTGGAGCTCCTCTTTTCACAAGTTTCCTTTTGATTGGGATGTTCCTGGCCTTGGACGCTGTGCCGCAAGGTGGGCCCAGGTGTATACCTGAGACGCGGCCAAGTGTGATCTCCTTCACAATGAGATCCTGTACCCACTGCTGGGTCAAATCCAGTTGAACGGCTGCAGCTTTCAGCTTGGCCCTCTTCAAGTGATGGTCCACACCCAAGGCCCTTCCACCTTGCGTACGAAACTGAGCACACACTCCTGCAGTTCCACAGAAAAGCTCCAAAAGAAAAGGTGGCGCCTTCGCGCCCTCCAGTGCTGGACTAGGGCCTTCGCCCTTGCATGCAAAAGGGGGCTCACCCCCAAAACTTGTGTCAGCTGACCTTCGCTGACTAGTAAAAGGCGTTGCCAGCCCTTCGACTGCAACGTTGGACACAGGTTCATCCTGGATGATATCCACTGAAGGAAAAATCCCCGGTGCTGCCTTTGCAGAAGTGGGGACAGAAGCCGGCTTTTCGACCTCACTTGTTTCGGTCCTTGTCTGACCTGGCAAGCCATGCTGCTTGCTTAGTCAATTTGCCTTGTCGTGGTTGAGGAAGTTGTGTGAGGAGGAGAAACAGCCTGGACGGCAGCACACATGTCGGCCACGTTTGCACTGCTTGTCGTGGCAAGTCCCAAGGTTGTATCCATAGCAAATCGACCTTCCATCTGAATCTACCGGAGTGCCTCCTCGTAGCTGAGCTGGCATTGGTGTCTTCGACAAGCGGCGGTTCTTCTTGTCAAACTTGCCACCTTTCGGTGGTGACCATGGCTTGTTCTTGGGCTTCGGCTGAGGGTTGACAGGAGCCGGTGCTTTGTCCACCGCTGCATTCGTCTTCGGTTTCTGCATCAGGAGCCACATGATGGCAGGCATCTCCAAGACAGCTTCCACATGGACATCTAGGGGAAGTTCACCTGCCGGCCCAAGTGGTAGGCCCGCTCGTGTCTTCTCAGACAACTTCAGGTGAATCTCACGGTCTGCTGCTGCAAGTTGGCCCATGGAGAGCTTCCTGAAACCACCCATTGGCTCCCTCTGCAACTCTGCGAACAACATGTTAACTATCAGCTCATGCTTTTCAAAACTCATGAGGTTTGCCAGCTCGTATGCAATCCCACGCCTCCTCATGGCGTTCATCACTTCAAGTTCTGATGAGACCTCGCACTTGAGATTGGAGTCGGCCTCCGTCTGTTTTATTGTTCCAGATGCATCGGCCTTCCAAACCTTAAGGCTCTGTTGTTCTTTCACATTGTTCACCTCTGACGACCTCGTAGTGCAACGAGACCACTCAATGTACCTCAAGCGACCGTCCTCTGCACATTGCGCCAAAGCGTTCACTAACGCATGGCTTGGTTCAAGCACACTCTCGATTTTCAAGGGCTGAAGCTTCTTCTCAATTGCCGTGAACCTAGCCGCTATCTCCTGTATGGGGAGCTTCTTCGGCGCATCACTCTCTGTATTGTCTGCTTTGCGCTTCAGCTCAGTTGCAGTCAGGGTGTATGATTCGAAGAGCAAACGGCGTAACAACGCCGACTCCGGAGCATTTGAACTGCCCAGGATAGGCACTGCAACTTTTGTATCGAAATCATCATCTGTCAACTGGCCAGGATTGGTCGTCACTGAAAAGGCGTAACTTCCAAAGGTTGACCAACCCTTTCTGTGCAGCTCTTCGTACGTCGACGCTGAGATCTTTATCTCATCGCATCTTGCTTTGAAAACGCTCTGACTGTCAACATATGACATGGCTGGCGCTGAGAGAAAACGGAGGTGCACAGAAAATAAATGTTCAAACAATGGACAACATAAATGACATCAAATGTAGGCTCTTGCAACTCACGTTCATTGAAAACTGATTGAGAGGCATGAACATTCTGACAAAGAAACTTCACCAAGGACTCAACCTTGATTGGACACTTGAGTCCAGCTGAGGCACACCACGCATCATGATCTCAATCTTCATTAAGTGCTGACACTTGAGTCGGCTTCACACAAGGTACACTGATGCACAAAATTGATACTGACCTCAGACCTGATGCCTCAACTTCGAAAACACATGTGAATGGCAACGACACTCAAAACAAAAGGAATGACTAACTGAGTGAAGCTGAATGCAACTGACGGCAACGGATTTTCCCTTCGGAAACATTGCAGTAGCGCATTGTATGGTCATTGCCACTGCATGACATGCACATTTGAGGAGTCACAAGGCAGCAACGTTCACTGAACACATCAAAAGAAAAAAAACTTGCCACATGAACAGGTCACAAATGAATGACATCTCATTCATCTGGGCTGCCAACTTCGTCATCAATCTTGTCGCTCCACCCAAAGCAAGTCATGCAGCCACGTGCTGCAAACGCTGGCACTGTTGCCAACTTCACATAATTGTCATTGCATCTACGGCCACATCTAAAAATCATCACACCATCTTTGCAGCGCTCAACAAAATGAAGCTTGTGTGACTTGACATGTTTGAAACAAGTTTTGCCTGCCAAATCTGAGGGTGGAACTAAGTCTTTGGCGTTCTTCTCGCCGTTCAAAACTGCTTGACGTTCCATGTCATCAGACTGGCTGTCTGAGTCTGTCGATGATTCTGCCGATTCAGCTGCATCGCTGACATCACTCACATCACCATGCTCAAAAGAAAAGGTCTGCTCAAAACCAGTCTCCAAGGTGTGACGTTTCAACTCATCTAAAGTGGTTTCATCATGGAAATTGCAAGACATCTGAAATGATTCTGACTCATGAGGTCCCGACTCAGCGTCATCCATCTCACTGGCTTCCAGGTCAAAAAGAGAAGCACTGAAGTATGGCTTTCTGACATTCAAGGAGTGATTTGCATTCAAATGAACTGCTGCAAGTTTCACTGCATCATCCAGTGAATGAGCTCCTGACCAACGCTGAGATCTCGGCAGATCTGGCTGGAAAATCTCAGCCCGTACTGCGATGAAAAGTGCTTCAATCTGACGCGGCACTGGTGCAGCAGCATCTCTCGAATACTCCAGGGCGCTCTTGTCTCCAGGGGTCACGTGATACCCAGCCAGGCGTCTGAGTGAGATGTCAACATTGGCCTTTGCAAGCCATGACAAAATTGTAGCTTTGGCTGAGTGGGTCGCCAACTTTTGTATTGACGACGGTGTCCAGGGCCCAAGCAACTCACGCAGCCAGACACTGGCCTCTGATGAGGTCAGAGGTTGCTGTGACCAAGTTCCATCTGCTGTAGGTGCCGGCATCATCGGCTGTTGCAGTGATCCACGCAACTTCATGTCAATCCTCTTCTGAAGCCAATGTTCGGCCCAGTTGTACCCTGAAATCCCTGGGACCACTGCGGCCACTGGAAGCAAACGCACCACTTTCGACCTTCGTTTGTTAGCAGTCTTATGATGATAAAGAGCAGCTTCCAGGAAGCCTTTGTTGTTGTGGATGTCCAGCACAGGTTCCTGAATGCAATGCTGACCGTCTGACCACCTAAGCCTGCAGTGTACCAGGAAGCACAAGTAACCAGCAAAGATTGAATCTTGTCCATGACCAAAAATTGCAATCCTCTCCAAAATTATCAACTGCTCAACAGAAAAGGGCCACTTCTTCTTTGGAGGACTTGTTGAAGCCCCTGCCGCAGCACCTTTGACTCGTGCTGACGAGAGGACCTCATCGACTTTGGCACCAATCAAGCCTTTTGCAAAGCCCACCGCTTCCAAGAAGCGTCTGCCCTTCGTTGGAGCCGCTTTCAACGCCCGCAACTCACAAAGATACTCATATGCCATCTCTTCTGTAATGGGAAAAATGCTTTCAGAAGCTCCCCAACTGATCGACCTCTTCCAGCGTCCAAAGGCAAGCAGAGAAGCTGCTCGAGACTTCAAAGTAGCCGCAGCTCTGCTACTGAAGGCATCGTTGATGACCTGCCAGATGTAGTCATCGCTCTTGCCATGTTCAATGCATTGCATCAAAAGCTTACCCAGATCAGTATTGGAAGTGCTGTCCAACACAATGACCTTCCAACATTGTAATGCCAAATTCAAACGATGGTTCTCTGAAGCTACCCATGACACTTCGGACATGTGACGCTTGACATTGAACTTGTTCAAGCGCGTTGGTTTCGGAACTACGTCTCTCCGAACAGCGTCATCTTCTGGGAGGTCAATCCAATCAGGTGCTATCAAAATCTGCCGTGGCTTCTTTGACAAAAACTGCTCAAATTGAGAATCTTCCCATGAAAATTTGACTTGCAACCGTTTGCCACCCAGTTGACGTGCACACGCATCAATGAACTCCGTGGACAGGCTCGACATGTCAACAGGAATGAATCCAGAAAATGTCACAATGAGCACCAAGGTCAAAACCAGAGTCCAGAACTTAATCATCCATGAAAACCCAATTTCGCGAGTTCCTACAAGTGGAAAACAGTTGCTCCCACCACCCACCCAAACTGTTTGAGGCGAGCGCGGTTGAACACAAACATGATTTGGACACAACCAAACATGAAAACGAGGGACGTTAAAACCAAGTTGTTGTTTTAGTTGGTTGGAAGTTTTCACAGAAGAAAACCTGGTACCTAAAAAGCCTTAGAGACTAAACAAAGGCATTAGATACCAGCAACTGAAACAACAACGACAGTGGTGTTCAAACGTTTGAGATTTGTTTCACTGTTTCCTTTGTGTCCTTGCTTTCAAGGCACAAAATAAAACATGTAAGCGCGAGAAATTTTTGAGCACACTCAAAAATTCTTAAACCCACTTTACTTTCGATAAAGAACCATCACCTACGGTGAAATTGTCCATGAAGATATAGAATCATGCATAGGGAAGCAAACATTGATTTCAAATCTTCTCCGTCAACCTACAGTTCAAAGACTCAAGTCTGATAATGTCAGAGTAAACTAGTTGCACCGTTTCTGACAGGAATAAACCAACAGACACTACCAATTGCAATCTTTTTTATACGCTGCTGTTGCATTCTGAGAAAGTTCTGTTTGCAGAAGATTGCAATCAGTAGATTACAAGCTGCACGTTTGATTAAATGGCATTTCGACAACAGGAGGCTACAGTGGCATCGCTCAGACAGTTCTGGTTGCAATGCCAACTGTGTGTCCTCCGTTGCAAATTGAAGCACTACAGCTTAGCGACGCAACGGAAGCCTACAGCGGTATTGCTCAGACAGTTCCGGTTGCAATGCCAGCTGTACGTTCCCGTTGCAAATTTACGCCGCTGCTGAACTTGCGGGAGACATTTTTATCCTCTCTGTGGTGATCCACGATGAAATCCACTGCCATCGCAATACAAGTAGCAAGGTTTGAAATCAAATAGCATTGCAAAAAAAAACGCGTTCACTATGTCACAGGCTACAGAAGTATTGCAAAGTCAGCTTTGGCTGCAATACAAGTAGCAAAAACAAGCATTTGCTATATGGTGTTTCGATGTGATCTTCTTCCTTTCTGCACTCTGGTTTCCTCATATGGCGCGTTCTCAGACATCTGACGGTGCTCGTAATTCACGTCCTGAGCTCCGAGGTCGTCCTGAGATCAGCAGGTCATTTCTCGCAGGTCATCCTGCGCAAGCATTTGGCGAATTTGTTCCCTATGTTGCCATTGCAATTTGGACAAATAAGCCAATGCATTGATCTCGTCCACCTTCGCTTGCTGCTCGAACTCTTTCATCCTTTGCACCAGTGCAGGATTGTGCTCGTGGAGAAACTGCTCGAACATGTGCCGCGGAGGCAAATCGATAATCCACAGATCATCCAACTTTCTTGGCCTCGACAACATGACATAAATCGCCAGAGCATAGTCGGGATCCTTCATCCAAGATGGCTTCGACAAGAAAGCAACAAGTCCGTTCTTCGCAGTGATGCCCTGCAAGCCATAGTGCGTCAAAACACATCGAGGAGCCAAGGGAATTTGCTTGCGAATCACCGGAACGTGTTGCTTCGGACCCACTTGTAAATTCCAGGCTTTGTCCGAAGCAACTGCACGAAGCAACACATGGCCCCGCGGTGCCAAGTCGCCAGGCAGCTGAATGTTCTTGTAATTGGGATCATCAATCTCAACCAAAACTGCCACTGGCTGATACTTCAAAACAACACAGCCACAGTCATCCTCAATTGCTGGCTCTTTGGGATGTAGCTTGACAGACCGGACAATAACTGGGAGCTCCCGGTTCAAAAGTGGAACATCCAAAATGCAACTGATGCGCGCAGCCATGCCTTCGTACAGCGGACAAATCCCCATAAGATAGTGCGTTTTGGTCATGTTCACAATCTGCAGTGCGCTGATGCTTTGTTCCCTTGTGAGATCATTGGGACCTGTAGCTCGATCGATGGCTTGCACGAGGTAAAGAGTTTTCTTCCTTTCCTTTGCCTCCAAACCAACGCGAACATGCTGTAGACGAGCCACTTGCTCCCAAGCAAGACCGCCCCAGTGGGCATCCAACAAACGTCCCCGCAGTTCGTCGGCCTGCAGCTGCGCTGTGCTATAGGATCTTGCTTCCAACGCTGCCCACAAAGCATCCGACATCTTCTTGCCTTCTCGCATTGCCAACAAAATTTCCACAAGCTGTTGCCCAGATGAGCAAGTGGAAAACCTCCCCGACCCTGTGAAGTGCACCACTCGCTGCAAGGAATTCTTGAACAGCATCCGGCCAAGCTCAGCTGCATTGCTGGTCTGCTGCGCTGCTTCGTCCTCTCCAAGGTCTTCGTCCTCGCTGGCAGCTGCAGCCATGCTGTCAGTGGCACGTTGGGCGGCGTGCCACTCGCACAGCGAGCGCTGTGCGGTTGGGCGCAGCTGCAAAAAATCGCCCAGCTGCACGCCAATGGGCACCTTGCCGAACCACTGATCCAAGTAGCATCCCATGTCCAACATCATCCGTTCCTGCCGTAACAAAGAAAACCGAAATCCTGCCGCATGGTACACATCGGGCGGGTTCATTGAGAGTTCGCCCAAGAGCACAGCCATGACCTCGATGATCTTCTTCTCAATCGGGTCGCCCTTGCTCTTGGCTGAACGCAGTGAGCGTCGATTGAGGCCACTGTTCGGGCTCACATTCGCCCATTTGTGCAAGGTCTTGGCTTCTGGCCCAAGCAGGCGAACCGCGGCGTGTGTTGGGGCTCCCACAATGTAACCAGCATCGCCGAAGTATCGGCGGAACATTGGCCGCAGCACCTTGGCATAGGCGTACGTCTTGCCAGAGCTGCCAGCGCCCAACCACAAACAGTTGCAGCTTTCGGTGGCAGCTCCATCGGCCATCATGGAGTCCAGGTTGGAGCGATTCAGCCACATTTGCTCCATGACCCAAGCAATGGGCGCCACTGCCAAAATCTGTTGCCGATTGAGTGTGTAGTTGATGGCAAGCTCTGCTGCATAGTCGCCAGGTCCAATGCAGCGATTGTTCAGTGCAACCAAAAACGGCTCCAGGGCTTCTTCCAATGGTTCGAAGGTGTCTACTGGCATGTCGTCTTCTTCCTCTGCCATGCCTGACGAACAACACAACTGCAAACGCGCGAAAACAACACTTTAAAACACGACGTGTCTACTTGCAGTGTCACATCTGGATCACATGGGTGTGCGTGTGTGCGTGTGTTTGTGTGTCACATGTGCATGTGTGTCTGTCACATACGCGCGTGTGTCTATCACATGTATGTGCGTGTGTCATATGGATCTCTGTCTATGTGTGTGTGCGTGTGTGTCACATGTATGTGTATGTGTATCACATGTGCGTGTGTGTCTGTCACATGTGCACATGTGTCTATCACATGTGTGTGTGTGTCACATGTGTCTCTATGTATGTGCGTGTCTGTCACATATATGTGTATGTGTATCACATGTGCGTGTGTAAGTGTGTGTGTGTATATGTTTGTGTGTGTGTGCGCGTCACGTGTGTCTGTGTATACGTGTCAGTGTGTTGTACGGGTAATTCACATTTTCCAAAAAAAAACATCATGGGCTAACAAATATTTTTTCCCTGGCCTCCGGCGCAGAATTCCAAGTACTGCTTCTGCAAAGTCATGCCTCTTTCAGCATCCGCCGACGTCCACGTGCGTTCAACCCCAGAGGAACCAGAACTTCGAATGCCCATCCCAGTCCTTGCATCTGGTACTCCTCCCAAAGCATTGACAAAGTCACGCAAATGACGGAGAGTATCTTTCAGCACCGTAGCACGAGGATTCCCCAAGACCCGCATCCAATCCTGCTCTCGAAACAATGCTTCCTGCAAAGCATCTTTGTCCAAAGTGTACTGTGCTCGCTCCATGCGTTCCAACTCGTCCTGCTGCCGCAAGTCATCCTCCACTTCGTCCCCCTCAATGTCCGGAGGCGCAGCATCATCCTCCAGGTCGTCATCTTCCACCTTTGTCATCAAAGCAAAGCGTTCAGCTCGACGACGACTGCTGCTGATCCGGCGCGCAGCATGGTGTTGCTCGAAACGCTCCAACCAAGTAGTCTGGACAATGCAAAGGAATTCCAGAGGAGACAGCTGAGTGTAATGATAGTTCAAGGCAACGCCCAAGCACCAAGCAATACGTTCCACAATGCGAACAACATCATGCATCCGGCAGTCGCGAGGGCGCAACTTCTTGTCCAGGACAAATTTCAGAAACTCCAAAGGAACCGTTGCTCCACTGCTTTCCATGCGAGGCACGTACCTGCGGACTGTAATCACATCTCGAATCACCGGCATCGACAAGCCTGCCAACATGCGCTCTTGTGCCGCTTCACGACGCAACACCATGCAAGCTTTCCAATGTCTCCACTGCGGCGCAAAACGACCAAAAATCATGCATTCCTTCTCATTCTTCTCGATGCTATGACAGGAAAAGCATTTGTACGAGTCACTTCAATCACCACTGCAAGTTGGAAAAGGAAAACAAAGTCCAAGCATATGAGCGGCATACTTCTGCACCTCTGCGTCCTGTGGCAGATGCAAATCAGAAGGCACAACCACGTTGTCATCAGTAGCTCTCACCTCCTGCAACTGCAGCTGAGAAACATTTCTTTTTCGAAAAAACACAGAAACAAAACACAGAACCAAAAGTGAAACTAAAACATTCGGCAACACTTCTTTCAACCCAAGAATCCTGCACAGATGATGCATGATGCGGGTAGTGTTCGTCGAAAGCAAAAAACTTCACACCATCAACTTTACCAGCTTTGGCTCGCGGCACCCTGCGGACAAATCTTGAGTACATCACCAACGACATGCACCGCAGCAAAACTGAGGAACCACGATGAAGGTAGTCATCCTTCTGATTGAACTGCACAACAACTTGCTTCACCCGAGGTGCTTCACCTTCATCCTGCATAACCTCAGCTATTTCATCCAAAGCAACAGGCGCGTCGTCCGTGTCGGTCACAAAGTCCACTGGAGCCGCGCTGAGGTGCGGTGCATCAGCGATCGCTCCTGCAATTGCTTCTTCTCTGCACCGCATGATTGCAAAAGGAACATATCGAAAGAACACGTTGTAGCCCCGATAAGTTACATACTGCTCCTGTTCATACAGCAACTGATATGCCATCTCACCGTTGGACTTGGCCACACAACGGTTCATGCCAAAAGCCAATCGACGCAAAATGCTCAGCGCTCGGCTCTGCTGGGAACTCATGCCCGGATTTTTCTTCGCATCTGCAGCCTCCCTGCTCCCATCTTCCAAAGCAGCTTCCTGCCGCTGTTTTTCTTCCTCCTCCAATCTCTGCACTCCTGCCCACTAGCTTCAACTCTTCCAGTCGCGAAATAAGCTGTCTAACTAAAAACATCTTTTGTAACCACAAAGCCTGCGGAAATTGCGCACGTATTGGTCCATGCTTCTTGCATGCAACTGTTCTTTGCACAAACTGAGTGTTTCAGTTTGGAGTAGTTTTCAACTAGCAAACAGTTACACATGGCTATGTATAGGGGGTTGAGTGCACTGTTCACATCTCTATACCCCGCCTTTGGGTTTTGAGTGGTTGTTCACTCATATCCCAAACTAGAGTGAAATTACCTACGGTAAAACACAGACTAGTTCAAACGAAAATCCAAGAGGACATCGTGTATGTCCCAATGCATACGGGCCTTGGATTTGTTATTGCAAAACAACAGCTTGTATCACTTTGAAACGCTTGTATGTGAAACGGTCAACATGAGATCAGGTTAGCTCATGTCTGACTCCTTCTGCAAAGTGGAAATCTTCGAGCTCAGCAAGATCAAGTTAACTTGCTGCAGCTATGCCTCACCCAGTAGGATCAGGTTAACCTACTGCGGTGGTTCATTTCTCTCAGCATCTCCAATGTCTTCGAGATATTCACGGAAATCAAGTCGATGGGAAGCTTGGAGTAGCTGCTCCCCATTGACTCGCATCATGGCTTCGTCGTGCCATTGTTGCCACAGCTCACCATCTGATACCTCATGGCGCTCCAAGAAACTGTACCTGTGACGTTTCTCCTCAATGGTTTCCGGTCCATCTGAGTCTGATGGGTCTGTAGCTGCTTCACCTTCTGGCTCACTTTCATTCGATTCATTTTCATCTCCAACATCTCGTTCTGAACTTTGTTCTCCATGAACATCATGCCAATAAGCAGGGTCTGAAACTTCAGATACCGTCGATTGTTGGTACCTTGCAAATCTTCCCTCAGCAGATTCTATCTGTTCTCCATCGCTGTCAAGTTCAGCCTCACGCATTTGTCTCACCTGATTTGCTGCAATATCAAATGCAACAGCTCCTTGTGCACATTGTTGAATCACCATTGACTCAGTCAAATGAGCACGTGGGGAAAATTCATCATCAGTGAGGTCTGTCAACGATGCAAGATTGTCAGCCATATTGCGCTGCTCATCTGCTGAAAGACCACGCACACAAAGTTTCAGCATATCCTGCAAACCGGATTTCCTTTCATTGTTTGTCATCATTCTGTTGCCTCTCACCACACGTTTGTGGCATCGATCAAACATCCAATAAAGAATCCCTTCTGGCCTGAATGAACTGCTTTCAAATAGTCCTGGGTATCGGGCTCCAAGACTTCGAGGATTCATAGGATATCTGCTCGGAGGCGGTTCACTTCCAGGTTCAATATCTCCATCATTGGACCTTGATCGGCTTCTGCTCATGCCTGATCCAGGAAACATAAATACCACATAGAGCATGGCCATGACGAAGAATACTGTAAATATCAAAGCATGGATTGGGCTCAAAGCATCGTGCCACTGACCCAAGGCTTCGAATGTTCGTGATGCAATACCACGAAGTGAAAATCCATCGGCCATCCCTACAAGGCTGCAAATGGAGAGAACCCTAAGAAACTGCTTTGCAAATCTGTTTGATTTGGAACATGAAACATTGTCTATTCCAGTGTCCATTGTCTCACGGATCATCTTGACTTGCTGTTTGAGAAGTTCTTTGGATTCCATGCGTGAAAATTCATGTTCACCAACTGGTTCATCATCAACAACAAAACCAAGAAGAAAAAGTAAACTGTTGAAGCGATCCCTGTTGAGGCTCTTGGTGTTCAAATCAGCCAAGTTGTAATTGGTCTTCACCTGTTTGAGGATCATCTCGGAAGACCCAGTCTTTTCCTGCAGCCAAAGCAAACGTCCATGAATATGTCTGAGACGTCCAGCTCCCAATTTCTTTGAAAGCATTCTGACAGCAGCATTATCTGTATGCAATGTGATTGGTTTGATCTTTTGATTGGTGAGAAAGCTAACCACGTGATGAAGAAATAGTGAATCACATGCCGCTGATGTGGCTGCATACCATTCAGCCTCTGTTGAGCTAAGGGATACGCACTTCTGTGTCCTAGAAGTTGACCAAACAACCAGTCCATTGATCAAATGCACAGCTGACGATGTAGATCTGCCTGACCAATCTGAATCCGTGTACGTTTCAATGCAATTCAAATCATTTTCACTTTCACTTTCACCACCATGCAATACTTGCTGAAAAGTAGACCCCCGCTGCGTCTTTTTCATCCTCAAAGCAAAATTCTCACTGTATTTCATGTAGCCAACAAGACGGGCTAGATCACACCAAGCACGTCGTGTGGGTTGCTTGAGAGATGAGGCCAATGTCTTTGTTGCGTATTGCAAATCAAAGCGCTCTTGACTCACATACATCGCTATGCCCACAAGGCTTCTGAAAACTTCAGCCATTTTCTGAGGAAGCAACTCATCCAGTTTTGGATCATTTGCAGGGTTTCCAGGAGAGCACGGTGTCTTTGCCAACTTTGCTGGTCGTCCATTGGCTTCAGCAAACTTTTCATACATCGCACAAACATGCTTTGCTTCAGGATACACTGTGATCTGAGTATACCCAGCATCAACCACATGGTAACGCTTGAGAAATTCGAAAGTACCACCAGTTGCACGGCTTACCACTGTTGAACTCAGCTTGAACCTTTTCTCCAGCTCAGGAAGAAAGCAAGAGTTTATCCAACCTTCATCACCCATGAATAGCACATCATCAACGTGTAAAACCATTGCAACTTTGTTGTCAACCTTCAGCACGCAAGGTTGTTCAATGCAAACTTCTGCTTTGAACAAGGTTTTCAACGTGTCAACAAAGTATTGATACCAAAGTTTTGCAGCATCCCGTTGCCCGGGAAGGCACATCAAAATCACCAGTTCCATGGACCCAAGTTTTACCACTCTCGGCATTGGTTGGGGAACTTGGAGAAAAGCATCTGCCACATCCAATGTGCCTAAAACGCTGTTGGGTGCAAAGCCATCTGACAATGCAAGAGCTGGGAGGATCTTCACGACTGAGCTGCTTGAAGATGGGCTGTAAACATCATCTCGCACATCCAACCAATTGAATTCTCTGGCCACCAATCTGGAACGGCGTAGCCAGCCAGGAGTTTCAGAAATGAGTTTCCCATCTTCTGCAAAAACTTTCCTTGTTTTCTTTCTCCATGACCGTACAAATTTGGCACTGAGTTCTGTACCAAGCTCACCATTGTAGTTGTTCTTCCATTGTATCACCTTCATACCAAGCAGTCTGTCTATCTCAACTGAATCTGCAAAGTCATCAATGCGTTGCAAACGTTCAGAATCCAATTGTGGCTCCAAAGCACTCTGCGGTTGCCACAAGTCGTCTTCAGTCATCTCACGTCCAGCACTTGAATCATCATCATTCCAAATGTCAAAAGACTCAACTGAATCACTTATTGCAAATGAAAAATCACCTTCACCACACTGTTGCAAAAGTTCACTGGAATCCTCGTCCACATGCATTAAGGTCTCGGCTCCAACACGCAAAGTTGAAAATCTTGCACGTTTTGCTTCAGGTTCACTCAAAGTTGATGGTTCAGCTTCCATTCCAACATCCATTGGTGATTCCAATCCTGGTGTGGTTGGACCAGGAACTCCCAAACTTGGTGCAGGTACCCCCGCCTGCTCGACACCGTTACCTTCCCAATCAATTTGTTCTGCAGCTTCAAGTTGAACAATGTTTGGAGTTGGAGGAGTGGTTGCTGGTGCACTGGCCACAGCTGTAGGAGGAGGTGCCATTCTACGTCTGTCTTCAGCAACTGGAATCAAATCAGCAATGACTGGTGGTGGTAACACTTCGTCCTCGGGTTCTTCTGCTGCTTCATCATCAACACCTGGAATTGCAGAAGGTGTCACAAGTTCATTGCGCACAACTGGGAATGTGCGACTGCCAATTGCACCTTCCAACTGCCATGGATATGTAAGTACCTGCCTGTACTCTTCCAAGTGTTCACTCCAATTTGGATACAGCATTTTGATTGATCGAGAAAGTCTGAGTGTTCCACCAACCGCTGTCAAGTACATGTCATTGGACAATGTCTTTGTGAGAAAGATTCCACGTTGCCACTTGGCATCACCCTTCTGCTGCGTTGTGTCACCAATGAAAACCATGACAGGACATCCATACGCACATAGTTTTGAATTGTATCCATGTCCAGCTATCAACTCAAAAGGTGTTGTGCCAGCCTTGACTGTGAAGCGCGTCAACGTCCATCCAGCATGTGTAAACGCCCAAGCAAACAAAGGATGTTGTGGCAAAATCTGAAATCCAATGTTCATCGTTAAAGCATGAAGGAAAACTGATGCCTGATTTCTGATTCTGTCAATTGCCTTTTCAACTGCAGCATTACTTCCATGATCTCCAACCTTGGCATCCTCGACAACTGTACGTAGGTTGAGGCGTTGTCGAGCTCTTTGCACAAGTCTTTGGATTTGAAGCGTTGAAGGCTCCTGATCACATCTCAGCATCACCACACTGTGACCCAAAAAAATAATGAAGCGCATGATTTCTTGGCTCATGTATTTCGTCTGGCTTTTGTGTTGTACTGGAATACAATGCACTGCACCAGTGTGAGAATCATGTACAACCAATGCAGTCAACTTCGATTGCTCTGATTTCTCTGTCAAGCTTTCACAGCTTTTACCAGTATAACAAAAGTCCCAAGAAATGATAGGAAATTCTCTGCGCACCAATTTCGAAGGGTCTGATCGATGTTGTTCTGGTTTTCCTTTGGCCATCACACAAGCTGGGCACCATGGTTGGTAAGGAAGATGCGTAAGGTTATGCGCATCAATCTCAGCAGGATCCTCTGGAGGGTTTGCAGTGTGCACAGGATTTGCTCTGCGTTGCGTCTCATCCAAAGCCACTGCAGCTAGCTCTGTCTCTGCCAAAATTGCTTGTTTGTCCAGTGTTGCAAGAATCCTTGACCACAACTTTTTCTTACTTCCAGCCTGGCTCACCTGTAAAAATGAACATGCTGCTTTGAGAACTGAAATGGATGACGTGTCCAAAACTTCAACACCTGCAATTTTCACCATAGTTTTATGTGGTTCCACGGCAACAGTCTGAGGCAATGCAACTTGTGTCATGGGCTCATCAGGTTGTTCACGACGTTGAGGTTGTTCTGCAACTCTTGCAGGACCAGTTGCAACATCACTTGCACCAAGATTTGCACTAGTTGAAGTTGCTCCTGAACCTGATGACCTTTCTAACCCATCGCCTTCTGTATGCACTGCATCTGAAATCACCATGCCAAACTGACCAATGCTGATAACTTCTTTGGACAAGATTGTCAACAGTCTTGAATAGTTGCCAGTGATAGGTGCCGCACGCTCATCCATGGTGAAAAGCTTCTCACACAGCTCAATCACTTGCCATCCCAACGTGTCATGCAATGCAACTGTTGTACGGTAAGGCCATTCCACAACCAAATACTCACGTGTTGCATCAATGTAATGGGATGCACTTGAACTGCAAATCTGAAAGTTGTCAAATGAATACCATCCTCTGGCCAAATTGAACCAAGACCGGGGCACATCCACGCTGATTGCTCTGACATCTTGGATCATCCTCACATCACCTGCAAGAACCAAGGAGTTGTTTCGAAATGCAAGTTCAACTTTTGCACCGCTCTTGTGTGATAACATGGGTGGACCTGACATGTCTGAACCCTCAATACTCCATCCAGTCTTCAACAGTTTTCCAAAAGAAATCAGTGGGTTGTCAATGCGGTCACTGAAGAATGCACGATCTTTGATGGTCACTGTTTCACCATTCACAGTTTCAAACTCAAACTTGACATCACGCACATCACTTGTAATGATCTCTTTGCCCTGAGCGTCACGCAGAAATGTACCAGGAGTAGGTTGTGCCTGGATTCCAATCCCTGACATGCATGTTGGGATAAGCGTCACATCTGAACCTGAATCAAGAATGATGTCGACATGGTTGCAACTTGAAACAGCACGCACACTCAAATGTGTCTCAAGGTCGTTGCATGTCTTCTGAACCTTCTCACAGGGTTGAAAAACGTTGACATCACCAAGACTCATGAAATGTTTGTGACATGAATGAGGTTCTGCAACATCATACAAACCAAGTTGAAATCTGTCCCAAACTCTCTGAGAGTAGTGCTCCATGTCGTCAAGCTGAAACAATCGTTGCAAATTGAACTGCTCAACATCACTTGTACCATCTGTCCAACGCTTTGCAAACTCATGCACTCCACGGCAACTGCAAAAATCACCACAAACTGAAAAATCTGCGCATCCACTGAAAAACTGTTGTTCATCACCCTCACATGTATCCACAAACTCATCAAAAACAGTTGGTTTGGTTTCAGGTTTGGTGTGTTTTGAAATCATGTTCACATGAAAACTGGAAAAATCACTGAAATTGTCACTGCCAGAAATGTCGAAATTGAACTCACGATAAACGGTTGCAGCTGAAACATTTGGTGCAAAACTCACACGATTGACCTGAGCACTGCCACTGGAGTTACCTTTGCCAGTGCTGTCTGCCTTTCCATCTGTTGTATTTGCACCATTGTCAGACTGTCCAACGGCTCTAACTCGACAATCTCGGGCGTAATGACCTTGTCCACCACATTTGTGACAGGTCACATCCTTGCTTTTTCCAGAATCCTTGCCTTTGTTTCCCTTTTGGGATTTTCCACCTTTTCCAAAACCATCTGAATTGTTGTACCATGATGAATTTTGCCATGACGATCCCTTTGAACTCCACGAAGTCTGCTGTTGATTTCCATACCCTTTGCCAGAATGGTAACCTTTGTCACCTTGTTTCGATTTCTGCTTTCCTTTGTTCTTGTCCTTGCCCTTACCAGCGGACTTGGCTTTCCCTTTCTTACCTTTTCCACCTTTCTCAATGCGATCCACATCCATTGGTATGGCAGTGTCGGCTGGTGAAGCCACTGCACTCCCAAGGGCCATCGCATTTGTCCATCGAATAGTGCTTTGATCATATCTGATCGCTGCTTCACGTAATTCATCATACGTTGTACTGTCTCGAAGGGAAACCTGCAAGTAGGTCTTCAACTGACCCCCTAAGCACTTCATAAGCACAGCAAAACGAATTTCCTCGGCAAGCGTCGATGCAATCTTCTCATACTCTCGAAAACTGTCTTCAAGCTTCAAAATTTGTGGAAGGATTGCACTTTTCATGTCAAAGCTCGGCCACTGCATGATCAAGTGAAGCAAACCCAAACTCCTGTTTCTCGAAGTTGGTTGACAAGTGCGAAACAGTTGGCGTACAGCCTCCAACCCATTGCCCTGCTCAATTCCTTTAAGGAGAAGAAGTGGGCGTCCTCGAAGAAGCGAGGCTAATAAGCCAAACAAGAATGCACTGCGACGTGTCTTCTCGATGTTCTGCTCCACAAGTGGGACTTCATCGTCCAAATTCGCTCTGATGGTCTGCAAGTCATGCCCATAATTAGCGTCTACAGCCATTATGTATTGTTCAACTTGCCACCACCAGTCCCGAAATGTGGCCAGTTCGGCCTCCCTATCACGGGGCTCGAAAACACCTGGCTTCGGTAGCACTTTGTACCACTCTGTTCTGATGTCACCACCTGTATTTCCAGTTTGACCTGTGCTCGAAGAAGTAGAGGTCATTGTATTGAGTGCAGCCGATGCTGCATTTGCAGCTGTTGCTGCTGCCTCAGCCGCCTGTATCATCCGAAGTGCCAAATCAGCACCTGAAAGACCACCATCTCCAGCTGATGCAGTTGGGCTTCCTTGAGCACTCATTCCAAATCCCTGAGGTGAACCCTAGATCCAGAAACTGCAAGCTATGGCTGCGCGTCCCACGGCAAAGGACGAAAGGAAACCTAGCAAACTCAGAGCTCTCACCAGAAACGCTGGATCATCAAGCTCCGTTCTACCATAAAAACATCTTTTGTAACCACAAAGCCTGCGGAAATTGCGCACGTATTGGTCCATGCTTCTTGCATGCAACTGTTCTTTGCACAAACTGAGTGTTTCAGTTTGGAGTAGTTTTCAACTAGCAAACAGTTACACATGGCTATGTATAGGGGGTTGAGTGCACTGTTCACATCTCTATACTAACAAACACAACACATTTCCAAACATTTCAAACATTTCAACCAACACAGAAACGCGACAACAGCCCCGGCCTGCATAGAGCTCTGGAAGCATGCTCCTGGAAAATTCAAACTTCTTCGCAGCGTATTCGCCAGTGTAGAAACCAACATCTTGCATGTCACGCGACATATCGATCAGCACCCGTTCAAGTGCCATTCTCATGTTGTTCGTCTTCTGAACATCCAGCAATGTAGACTTTGACTTGGACATCTTTCTGCGCTTCTCATCCCCATGGACAGTGTCATCCAAAGCATCGTCCTGTTGCGTGACATCCATGTTGCACGGTTCCTGCTCGGACAGTTCCGGTTGCAAGACACCGGCCACAGGCTGTGACGCATCAGGACGCATAGCACCTGGACTGTGCACTTCCATGCTCGAAGAAACAGCAGCAGACAATGGAGTGTTTGAGTCTGAGCACATGCCACCACCAGAGAACTTCGTCAGGTCATCTTCAGCGAAAGCTCGGCCAAGGTATTTCACATCTACATTGCAACGCATAACCACCTGTGCCACGGGATTTGACATGCCTTCAAAAGGATGATCTCGCTGTGCCTGAAAAACATGCGGATTCTCATTCTTGAACTCCTCCAGCTTTGCCAAATCTTGCGTTTCATATTGCAACCTGGAAAAGCAAGCCTTCTCCACTCGCGGCCAACCTTTGCGGCACAAGTTTTTCTGCTTCCCTTCATCGTCCTGGATTAACTCAATGTGAAAACATCCAAAGCGACAGCCACGCTTGCCTTTGACAGCTTTCCTTAGCCATGACAAAGCTCAGACATGCAAGCAAAAAAAGAAGCAAAGTCATCACCAACCAGCTACCACATCACAACAACACAACACATCAAAACAAATGAAAGAACAAAAGTACTATTGCTTTGAGACTCTTCTTGAAACAGGACTTTGTGCACTTGTGAAAGTGATTTTGGATCACCAAACGACGGTAATCTTCGCAAAATTTGCGTTTCCAGATCTCACCGTCACCAATTGCATGCTGCTGTCGTCTTTGATAGCTTGGCCTCAAAGATGCGTAGCAGCCTGTCAAAGTCAGGCGCGAGCCTGCGGCCAGTTCGTGACCGTCTGGCTCTGTGGGCATCAACGCACACGTCTCATACTGCCGACCACATTCTGCACGCTGACGCTCGTTGAAAGGAAGTGGCGGCTGTGAAGTTCCCAATTGCTCTGCAAGAACCAATTGAGAATCATACTTGAAGCGTTGAACGGCCTCCAGGACTCGTTGGCTCCAGCGTCTCAATTCAACGACAAGCTCACCGTGGCGGATGCGATGCATGATACTTCGCAAACGATTGCCCAAATCATGCCCCAGCAAAACGACCAAAATGTGTGGGTGCAGAGAACCACGCCCTTGCGTCTCCAACGGCCCACTCAAAGATGCAACATCTCCAAAAACACCACCCTGCAACGAGCTAGCAACACCATCTTCAAACGTTGCATGCATCCCTGCTCGATAGCTCTCACGCTTCAACGGTGGCAAAATGCCCAAAATCTCCTCAAAGAAGATGTCCATCATGAGCGCAAAGCAGCGCGCTTGGGAGACAGGGTCCATGGCAACAATCCGTCGCATTGCTGCTGCAGTAGGCATTGAAGGCACGTCGACATCCCAGTCTAAGGCCACCTCGCACTCGTCCACAGTGCCAACTGTGCTCTGCAGATGTAGCTGTAGGAGAAGCGGGGAGCGGATGTCTGCGAGGTTCGGGGTGACGAACAAATGGGCAGACCCATAGTGCCACCCTGCGGCGTGACCTCTCAACCTGATCTGACTTCGGTGCCCTTCCATGCCGATAATGCTCGAGGTCGCTTGCAGAACACCACCTAGAGCACGCTTCAAGGACACATCGATCTGTGGGTCTCGGAGGAGCTCTCGCAGGTCGGAGTTGTCGCCGTGCAGGGCCATTGCCTGCAAGAGCTGCTCCGTGCTCACTTCTGAAATGACTCGACAATGCTTGCCAAAACCTCGGCGCATCACATGCGCTTTTGTTGCTCGCATCAAGTGAAGACGTCGATGAACATCATACATGACTGGCAGCAAAGTGTCCTTGGTTAGATACGGTCAAAGACACAACTACCATGTTCTACACACATTCCTGAACAGTACCCGCCTTTCGGACAGTTCCGGTTAAGACGGGCCGTTCCGGCACGCGTGCACTAACTATAGTTGAAACTGGGAATTCCATAAGTATGCTCAAACTGGTAATGTTGAAAAGGATGCCTGTCTCCAAAACACAAAGAAACTCCAAGGAGCTGATAGAGACCAACGAGGTAATGGCGCCGGCTCATCATACTCCAGTTCTTCCCGAAGAAGCAGATATCGAAAGAGTTCCGAAGCATCCAAACTTGTTTCTCGTTTCAAGAAAGGTAGACCATCTCCCCAAGGAAACAGATCAGGAAACGACATTGCCCATGTTGCTGCTTCGAACATTGACAAAGGGTCATCCTGGTGGCAAAACGAAAGAAATTGCAATATAAACCTTTGCTTTCCCTCTCTCTCTCTCTGTCTGTCTGTCCCTCTCTCTCTGTCTGTCTGTCCCTCTCTCTTTCTCGCTCTCTCCCTCTCTCTCTCTCTCTCTGTCTGTCTGTCTGTCTGTCTATCTACCTCTCTCTCTCTCTCTTTGTTCTTGCTTCCATATCTAATTTCCTTCTCTTCTTCCCTCCCCTGCCACACCATCCTGGGTCGGCACCACAAGCTTGGACGGTTTGACCTGGAACATGGCAGCTTCAGCTTGTCGATCACTCTCAGCAGTTCCACGGGCGACCTTCTGAATACGCCGGATCTTGTGCAAGGTTTGATGCTCTTGCACACCTTCACGGCCAAGCAATTGAGTCTCAGATGCCTCTGCCGCCCCAAGCTCATTGTTCGCTCGATTTCGCATAACAGCGGCTGCTGAACTCTGCCGTTGACCCCTTTGCCGCACACACACTTCCTCCACATCTTTCAAGACGCGAACCCATTTGTTTTTCTCATCAGCCGCATCATTCAAACCGACGATGCAAGACACCAAATGGCCTCCGCTGCAAGCACATAATCAACCAGACAAGCAACCAGAAAAAATACAAACATCATCACACATCTGCAAAATACTTTCAGGAGTAAAACTTTCACCATCCACTTCCCCTGCCTGAAGCATCATCTCGATCTACTGCTTCTTCTCCAGTGGCCTCCTTCTGTGCGTCCTCCCCCTCCACTTCAGACTCTTGCCCCTGGGCATCAGCAGGCCCTTTCTGCAACAGCTCTTGTGCCAGAGCTGAATCTTCAGCGGTCTCGAGCACGCATCCATCCAAAACATCTTCTCCATCGGGGCGCACTTCGACGGCTGCGTAAAAAGGGCTCGTCCTTCGCAAGCACTCCACTGCCGCCGTGTACTCGTCTCTTGGAGCTTTGAGCAATGTAGAGCCACGCACCTGACTCTTTTGTCCGCCTACCAGCACGAACAACAATGTGTCCTGCATGTCGACCTCCTTTGGTGGCAGGATTGACAGCACTGCTGACGGCCGTGCTTGCGGCAAAAAGATTGTGTTGCCAATGAAGCCATGCTGACGTTCCTCACGTTGTAAGTGGGCAGGCTGAAGAACCACCACTTGCATGCATGCCCGAGTCATTGGAAGAAGCCGCTTTGTCGCCGAAGCCAAGTTGCGCAGGGCTGGTGGCTGCGCCCCCATCCATAGATCATTTGCTAAACTGAGCCTCGGCAGCGTGATTGTCGATGCAGTGAGAGGGCCTTTGCATTCCTTGCAAACAAGAGAAGCTTCCTTCACATCGGCCGGCATGCGCCGCTTATGCAAGAGCAAAAATTGCCCTGCAAGGTATGGGCGTTCCACTGCTGACCTCCGAAGCTCATCCTCATCGATGTGCGGCCAACGTCTCTTGTACCGCTCGACTCCCAACAAGCGACAAAGACGTTCCTGCTGATTCCCAGGAATAGCATCAATCACAGTCGAACTTCTCTCCTCCCGTCCAGTCGGGTCTTCAAAGAGAAACAGCAGCTTCAACTCATCCTTCCAAAACCGCCGAGCACACACCACGCAAGCGGACTCTTCACGGCCACCCGGCTGGGGCTGCCGCAATCTCTCATCAGCATTTTCAATGATTCGGCGCTGCGTGCTGAAGGACGGCACCTCAGTAAACTCATCCCACATCAGCCCATAACAACCGCAACAACATCTACAAGATCACAACAATTTACGATGCATTACTCAGACAGTTCTGTTTCCAATAGACATTCTTCAAAACGCGTGGCACCCAATCACAGCAACTTAAACAAATACGTACTTTCAACCAAGAAACATCAGGACCCATGTGCTCAAGCAAGCCAATGACTTTCTTGCGGTATTCGATCAACACTCGACTCTCATCCCCTGCTCCACGATGCTTCTCCACAAGATGCTCATGAAAGGCCTTCTGGTTGTCGGCGCTGAAGTGGCACAGGCGGCAAAGATACCGATCCAGAGGTTTTTCAACATCATCACTGTTATGATGGAGGAGACGGCGAGCCAAAGCTTCCCCAATGCCGCTGATAGTTGGCGTGCAATCCAACGTGGCAGCCACGCGTTGCAACTTGATGGCAAAAGGCATGTTCACATTTTCCAGAACCAAGAAAACATCCTCCAGCAATGAAGGAGACGACGATTCTTCCTCAAAACAAAGCAACTCCGTCAATGGCACAAATGACGGCTGTGGCACATAGCCTTCGTGCCAACCGGGGATGGAGTACATCAAGCTGCGTTCAATCTCCGATCGCCATTTCACTCCACCTTCCATGTCATCCGACAACTCCAAGCAGTCCAACTGCAATGCTTGCACTGAAACCACATCAGAAGGAAAAGCTTGCCTCATGGAATCGACTCTAACTTTCTTGTCTTTCTCCAAGTAGTTTTGAATCCTCTGGGAAAGCGTTCGCTGCTCCTCCATGCTCGGCAGCCGCATGCAATCGCTATCGCGTTGCCATTCCACGATGTCATCATGAAGCTGCAATACCACTGGAGACACGCCGTTCCTACGTGCAAGACTCAATGTCCAATACATTCAGTTATGCAGTTATGCGACACTTTGTTTCACATTTTCCACAAACATCACCACTGACAAGCAAATCAATTCAACACCAAAATGTCTTGAATATTCTCATATGGGTGTGGATTCTGAGTTCCACGACGGTCCTGGACTCACGCAAGTCTCGCACCACCGTTGGATTGTGATGGCTGCGCAGTCCTTCCAAAGCCGGAGAACTCCTCGTGTGCAGTAATTCCAGAACCAAAAACCAGGCGAACTCTACGCATTTGCTCTTGTTGTAGATGGAAGCCTTGAAACATTCCATCCACGAGCAGGTTGGCACTTCTGGGTCCCGCCTCTCCCAGCCATACTTGCGCATCAAGCAGCGCAGAACCATAGCGTCCGCCTCATCCAACTTGCCTCGTCGCTGCTGTAGTTCGCCATCCTCTTCCACGACCAGAGCTGTGCGTCCCCATAAAATATCAAGGACAGCCTCCACAGCAATGCGGCAACTCCATTCAAAATCTGATTGGCACATGCTTATACCTAAAGATCACACCTACAGATGCAAATCACTCAACTACGAACAGCTCCATCCAACCATTCTTTCTACATCTCACCAATCATCTCCCCTAACCCCAAAGCCTCCACAACATCGGCGCGATCTTCGTAGCCACTGCCAGGTTGCCATTCACAGTCCGATCTCAACATGTGTACATCCCAAAGGCGTGCAGCGACATCATAAACATCGTGTTCACGTGGAAAATCCACAAGGCGACTCCAAGCACCTGCAACAGGGTATATCTATCTGCTGGAAGCAAAATACAATTCTCTTACTCTGTCAGATGATTTTCAAACTTCGGATCCCACCCATCGCATCTCAACGCTCCAACCTAATTTCTGCATCGACACGATGTCCCGGCAGCTTAGCAAACACGTTAACAATGCAATGCTCTGGTGCCGTGAAAGGTTCTCTGTTCCGAGGCAAGTAAAAATTCCAGGCACATCCAGCAAGTCCTTGGGCGGTGCAACCGGCATGCGTGACCTGGCATCTTCGATGGCAGCCAGCACAGGCAACGTGGCATCCACAACACGCGAGCATAAGTGCTCGTCACTCAAATGCAATCCTTCAACAGTGGACAATGATTTGCCGGGCAAAATCGACAGTAGCCTTGTCCTGTGCTCCTTCGACGCCACTGTTTGCCTCAACAATTCCGTGCCAAGTGCTGCGTCGCTCTCGCAGCATTGCGACACCCAACACCAAAGTCTTGCACCGATATCGTTCCGATCATCCTTTCTCTCCTGACCGACAATCAGAACGAAAGCTGTGCTTGTTTTGACATAACTAGTAGGTGAAGTTGCAAATTTTCTCAAGCTCTGAAAATGTCAGGATGTTGAAATGCATTGCTGACATCCTTTTTGACAACACTCAGTCTCTCAGCATTCCACCAAAACAACAAAAACATTCCATCTCTCATCCTCAATCCCCCGCCTCAGGAGCCAGATACTTCACCAACGATGCCCGAACTTTGGCGCTAGGAAGCAACTTTCCGCTGCCATCGACAAGCCCCAAGCCAGCAGCTGCGCTCAGGGACCGCAGCGCATGCTCTTCCATCTCACCAAAAACCTTTCGAAGCCACGTCACGCCTTCCCGACGGCCATCCATACGAAGCTGCTCTAGTCTAGCTTTCAATGCATGCACATCATCATCCTGCCGCGAGCAAAATCCTCTGTGCAGAGAACTATCAGAGCATTCCCCAAACACGACTATCCACACAACTGCTCCCACTGCATCCACACTAACACCTTCTGTGATGCTACCCAAAGAAACTGTTAACAACTGAAACGAACTCCTCACAAAACCAAACACCTTCCCCCCAACAAACTCGCCTGCGGGGCAAAATGCTCCACGAGGGCATTGCGCAGCTCAGCCGGTGCCACCTTTGAACCATCTTGTCTACGTGTCGACACATCAGAAGCTGCTGCAACCTTCTGCAAGTCATCCCGCGTCATGCTCGCCATCTTCTCTTGCAGCCACGTGCGTCCTTTGCTGCTGGCGTCCATACGAAGCTCTTCCACCTGTGCCGAAATACTGCCGCCCACATCTCCACGCTCCTGCCACCGCATAGGCTGTGAAATTGTGGTGCACGCGGGCTCTTGAAGTAACATAACTCATGAAACGAACTTTGCCAACAGACACCAAACTCATCAATAACCAAGTATCTGCACAACAATCTATACTTATATCCCTATAACAGTCCGTGCCAAGACCACAAGAAACGTTAGGTGCCAGATTCCTGTCCAGAGAACTGTCAGTGCATCCCCAAAAAACACATTCTGTGATGCTACCCAAAGAAACTGTTAACAACTGAAACGAACTCCTCACCCAACCAAACATCTTCCCCCAACAGACTCGCCTGCGGTGCAAAATGCTCCACGAGGGCGTTGCGCAGCTCAGCCAGTGCCACCTTTGAACCATCTTGTCGACGTGTCGACACATCAGAAGCTGCTGCAACCTTCTGCAGGTCATCCCGCGTCATGCTCGCCATCTTCTCTTGCAGCCACGTGCGTCCTTTGCTGCTGGCGTCCATACGAAGCTCTTCCACCTGTGCCGAAATACTGCCGCCCACATCTCCACGCTCCTGGCGCAGCATAGGCTCTGAAATTGTGATGCACGCGGGCTCTTGAAGTAACATCACATAACTCATGAAACTAACTTTGCCAACAGAGACAAAACTCATCAATAACCAAGTATCTGCACAACAATCTATACTTATATCCCTATAACACTCCGTGCCAAGACCACAAGAAACGTTAGGTGCCAGATTCCTGTCCAGAAAACTGTCAGAGCATCCCCAAAAAACACATTATGTGATGCTACCCAAAGAAACTGTTAACAACTGAAACGAACTCCTCACAAAACCAAACATCTCCCCCCAACAGACTCGCCTGCGGTGCAACATGCTCCACGAGGGCATTACGCAGCTCAGCCAGTGGCACCTTTGAACCATCTTGTCGACGTGTCGACACATCAGAAGCTGCTGCAACCTTCTGCAGGTCATCCTGCGTCATGCTCGTCATCTTCTCTTGCAGCCACGTGCGTCCTTTGCTGCTGGCGTCCATACGAAGCTCTTCAACCTGTGCCGAAATACCGCCGCCCACATCTCCACGTTCCTGCCACCGCATAGGCTCTGAAATTGTGATGCACGCGAGCTCTTGAAGTAACATAACTCATGAAACGAACTTTGCCAACAGACACAAAACACATCAATAACCAAGTCTCTGCACAACAATCTATACTTATATCCCTATAACACTCCGTGCCAAGACCACAAGAAATGTTAGGTGCCAGATTCCTCTGCAAAGAACTGTCAAACCACCCCCCAAACAGATTCTGTGATGCTACCCAAAGAAACTGTTAACAACTGAAACGCACTCCTCACAAAACCAAACATCTCCCCCCAACAGACTCGCCTGCGGTGCAAAATGCTCCACGAGGGCATTACGCAGCTCAGCCAGTGCCACCTTGGAACCATCTCGTCGACGTGTCGACACAACAACAGCTGCTGCAACCTTCCGCAGGTCATCCCGCGTCATGCTCGCCATCTTCTCTTGCAGCCACATGCGTCCTTTGCTGCTGGCGTCCATACGAAGCTCTGCCACCTGTGCCGAAATACTGCCGCCCGCATCTCCACGCTCCTGCCACCACATAGGCTGTGAATTGTGGTGCACGCGGACTCTTGAAGTAACATAACTCATGAAACGAACTCTGCCAACAGACACAAAACTCATCAATAACCAAGTATCTGCACAACAATCTATACTTATATCTCAATAACACTTCGTGCCAAGACCACAAGAAATGTTAGGTGACAGATTCCTCTGCAAAGAACTGTCCAACCACCCCCCAAACAGATTCTGTGATGCTACCCAAAGAAACTGTTAAGAACTGAAACGAACTCTTCACGAAACCAAACATCTCCCCCCAACAGACTCGCCTGCGGTGCAAAATGCTCCACGAGGGCATTACGCAACTCAGCCAGTGCCACCTTCGAACCATCTTGTCGACGTGTCGACACAACAACAGCTGCTGCAACCTTCTGCAAGACACCCTGTGTCATGCTCGCAATCTTCTCTTGCAGCCACGTGCGTCCTTTGCTGCTGGCGTCCATACGAAGCTCTTCCACCTGTGCCGAAATATTGCCGCCCGCATCTCCACGCTCCTGCCACCGCATAGGCTCTGAAATTGTGATGCACGCGGGCTCTTGAAGTAACATAACATAACTCATGAAACGAACTTTGCCAACAGACACAGAGAAGTTCAATAACCAAGTATCTGCACAACAATCTATACTTATATCCCTATACCAGTCCGTGCCAAGACCACACGAAAGTAAAACACCTATCCACACGACTGCTCCCACTAAATCCACACTAACACCTTCTGTGATGCAACCCCGCCGCGGCGGCTGCTCATCATTCCCCGCCTCGGGCAATTCCGGGCGGCGAGACGAACTGGACGGCAATGGTCTACCAGTGGTGCCAGCTTCCTGTGCAGATATGTCGTCGAACAGCCTTTTCATCACTGCGTCCCTGACTCCACTTGACGGCAAGCCAATCTCTTGTGCAATGACACGAAGATCTTCAACCTTCAGCGCCTTGAGCTGCGTCCAAAGTCCCTTTGTGCCACCACTTTGCACGACACAGCGCAACCGTGTAACAGATTCTTGCACTTCGATCTTTGCACAAACCCGGCTTGCGAACTCTTCCTTCAAGCGACTCCCCTCCACGGACAGCTCCAGCTCAGAAGCTAAAGCCTTCAATGCATTGATGCCTAGTTTGCGCACCTGGCGCCGGAAGAGATCAACTCCTCCCTCTGTCAAGCCTTGTTGCAACTCTCGGAGCTTCTCGGACATTTCCGGTTGACGCGAACCCAAAGTAACAACGTATACAGGCAAAGCGCGATACGAATCTCGAACCAAAAGCTGCGCCAACCAGCTTCATGCTTTGACAAACAAACAGAACACAAGCTTGCAGTTCAAACTCGCAAAATCAAGCGGTTTTACCAAAAGCTAGCTGCAAAACATTGAATGACTGCCACACACTGACATCCCGAGCTCAGAAGCTAAAGCCTTCAATGCATTGATCCCAAGTTTGCGCACCTGGCGCCGGAAGAGATCAACTCCTCCCTCTGTCGTAGCTTGTTGCAACTCTCGGAGCTTCTCGGACATTTCCGGTTGAAGCGAACCCAGAGTAACAACTCATAGAGGCCAAGCACGATACGAAGCTCGGACCAAAAGCTGCGCCGACCTACTTCATGCTTTGACAAACAAACGGAACACAAGCTTGCAGTTGAAACTCGCAAAAATCATGCAGTTTTATGAAAAGCTAGGTGCAAAACATCGAATGACTGCCACACACTGACATCCCCAGCTCAGAGGCCAAAGCCTTCAATGCATTGATCCCAAGTTTGCGCACCTGGCGCAACATCATGCAGTTTTACGAAAAGCTAGGTGCAAAACATCGAATGACTGCCACACACTGACATCCCCAGCTCAGAAGCTAAAGGCTTCAATGCATTGATCCCAAGTTTGCGCACCTGGCGCAAAATCATGCGGTGTTACCAAAAGCTAGCTGCAAAACATCGAATGACTGCCACACACGGACATCCCCAGCTCAGAAACTAAAGCCTTCAATGCATTGATCCCAAGTTTACGCACCTGGCGCAAAATCATGCAGTGTTACCAAAAGCTAGCTGCAAAACATCGAATGACTGCCACACACTGACATCCCCAGCTCAGAAACTAAAGCCTTCAATGCATTGATCCCAAGTTTGCGCACCTGGCGCAAAATCATGCGGTGCAAAACATCGAATGAATGCCACACAGTGACATACCCATCTCAGAAGCTAAAGCCGTCAATGCATTGATCCCAAGTTTGCGCACCTGGCGCCGGAAGGGATCAACTCCTCCCTCTGTCAAGCCTTGTTGCAACTCTCGGACCTTCTCGGACATATCCGGTTGCAGCGAACCCAGAGTGACAACTTATAGACGCCAAGCGCGATACAAATCTCGAACCAATAGCTGCGCCGACCAGCTTCATGCTTTCACCAAACAAACGGAACACAAGCTTGCAGTTGAAACTCGCAAAATCATGCGGTTTTACCAAAAGCTAGCTGCAAAACATCGAATGACTGCCACACGGCAACATGCAGCAGGCCTCCAAAATCTCCAAAGACGAGCACCACGGCCACCAAAAGAAGCTCTGGGAATGCTTACAGTCATGTTTGCTCGGCCAGTTCAGGGGGGAGCAGGGTCTTCTCTTGTTAGTATGGAGACGCAATATTAGAAACGATATATGAAAGCTCTGTTATAGGCAGTCGAGAAGAGGAGTATCAAGACAGGACAGTGAGAAGTGCAAGACAGTAGTTTGCATCGCAAACACTTTTACAAACAGACGCTTTTTACACACAGACGCTTTTAAACAAAAAGCTTTTACACACAGAGGCTTTGTACACAAACACTGTAACACAAACACTTTTACACACAGAAGCTTTTACATACAAACACTTTTACGCACAGACGCTTTTACACACAAACCCTTTGACACACAGACGCTTTTACACACAGATGCTTTTTACACACAGACGCTTTTTACACACAGACGCTGTCACACACAAACACATGTACACACAGAGGCTTTTACACAAACACTTTGACACAAACACTGTAACACAAACACTTTTACACACAGAAGCTTTTACATACAAACACTTTTACGCACAGACGCTTTTACACACAAACCCTTTGACACACAGACGCTTTTACACACAGACGCTTTTTACACACAGACGCTTTTTACACACAGACGCTGTCACACACAAACACATGTACACACAGAGGCTTTTACACAAACACTTTGACACAAACACTTTGACACAAACACTTTTACACACAGAAGCTTTTACATACAAACACTTTTACACACAGACGCTTTTACACGCAAACGCTTTGACACACAGACGCTTTTACACACAGACAACCTCTACACACAGACGCTTTTTACACGCAAACGCTTTCACACAAACACATTTACACACAGAGGCTTTTACACAGAAACACTTGAACACAAACACTTTTACACACAAACACTTTTACACACAGACGCTTTTACACACAGACACTTTGACACACAGACGCTTTTACACACAGACGCTTTCACACACAGAGACTTTTACGCACAGACGCTTTTTACACACAGGCGCTTTTACACACAGAGACACACAGAGGACTTTGACGAGACTTTTTGGTTACACACAGGCGCTTTTACACACAGACAAGAACGGCAACAGTAAATCGCAGTTTTACCTCAGTTTTTGCCGATCGACCCTCATTTCGTGCGAAAGGGTTGCTTTAGCACACGTAAAATCGCAGTTTTACCTCAGTTTTTGCCGATCGACCCTCATTTCGTGCGAAAGGGTTGCTTTAGCACACGTAAAATCGCAATTTTACCTCAGTTTTTGCCGATCGACCCTCATTTCGTGCGAAAGGGTTGCTCCAGGACAAGTCAAATCGCAATTTTACCTCAGTTTTTGCCGATCGACCCTCATTTCGTGCGAAAGGGTTGCTTTAGCACACGTAAAATCGCAATTTACCTCAGTTTTTGCCGATCGACCCTCATTTCGTGCGAAAGGGTTGCTTTAGCACACGTAAAATCGCAATTTTACCTCAGTTTTTGCCGATCGACCCTCATTTCGTGCGAAAGGGTTGCTCCGGGGCAAGTCAAATCGCAATTTTACTTCAGTTTTTGCCGATCGACCCTCATTTCGTGCGAAAGGGTTGGCGTTTCGTGACTCGCCGCCGGCACCACCCTCGGCCTTAAGAGAGAAAGATAAAAAGAAGGCGAGAGAGAGAAATAGGAGAGAGATGTGAGAGAAGATGTGAAGATGAGCAGATGTGAAGATGAGCAGATGTGAGAGAAGATGTGAAAGAAGGTGTGAAGATGAGCAGATGTGAAGATGAACAGATGTGAAGATGAGAAGATGTGAAGATGAGAAGATGAGAAGATGAGCAGATGTGAAGATGAGAAGATGTGAAAGAAGGTGTGAAGATGAGAGGATGTGAAGATGAGCAGATGTGAAGATGAGAGGATGTGAAGATGAGATGTGAAGATGAGAAGTTTTACAGACCCCCACTATTGGAAGAACCCTGCGCTCAGACGCTCTCGGGAAAAATTCACAAGTTGGGTCATTTACCTCATAATGCCGCTACTGAGGAGCCAAAAATGGAGTATGCATAGAATCCTCGACAATATGTACTGCCAATCAAGTACGTAGTTGGATTGCAGCTCATGGAACAAGGGAGAGCAGACAAGATCAGAACAAAACAGGCACAAACAAGAAACCAGACAGAGAGAAGCGACAGGAGGGAAGTCAGTAAGTAGAGTACCATTAGAACCTCGCTACCTAGTATCGAAATCGAAGAGAGAGAGAAGAGTAACTACACAATTGACAAGACAACTACATCAGTTGACAAGTCATTTTGCCCTCTGCGCTGATGACTGTCTCGTGGCACAAACACAATGTGCATAGATAGGTCCGCTCATTCATCGAACTTTCGCTTCACAGAACTCTGACTCTGTTGCCTGCCGTGCTTCTCTTGCCTACGACTTGCCTCCCATCTCTGAAAGATTCTTGCTCGATCTATGGCAGTTAAAGATTTCCGGTCAGTCTGTTCTTCACACGATTCTCGTTTTGGGACTCCGTGATTCCCTTCCTCGTTTGCCAGGAGTACTAGAGCTTCATCTAGCGCCCCTAATGCCAATTTCAATTGAGTGACCGCATCCTCCGTGCCCGGGCCGGCTAGGCTTACATTGTCAGTTGCCTTAACCAGGCCATTTCGCAGCTGAGTGACTTGATGGGATAACGGGTTCGCTGAGCATGGCAATGGTTTCTGTCTAGGTCTCTCGGTCTCCGTGCTCATTGGCAGAGATAGGGAGTATAGGATTAGCTACCTGTGAGCAGTAAAACGGTTCATGAGTTGCAAAATTATGCCTTACCTAATAGCAGTAAAGCAGAGAAAGGTGCTCCAAGAGAAGGAAGATGAGAACAAGTTCAGACTCTACAGCACTTATCAACTTATTTGGATGGAGGGTCTCTATACGCCTGACAAAACCAAAAAAATGACCACCCAAGTGTGTGTTCCATTGGGCTACAGTACATAGGATGGGTATTTAGGTTGCTCTACGCCGTTTGGCCATGCGTTCCGTAAAGGTATCG